AAAAAACATTCAAGCAAGGATGGAATTTAATATAACTAAAGCAATTATAAGATAATGCTCCCATGGAGGCTAAGTGAGTTATCTCATTGATTTTAGCAAATGTTTTTGTTTTGTTTTGTTTTGTATTTCCAGCATAGTAAAATATGAGTATAGTTAGATGTGTTTAAGTAATAGTAAATAAATGTTTATTAGTCAATGCATGCCATTAAATAGATTGCACACAGGGAATGTTTTCTATCTAAAAACAAATCTCACATAATGTGAAGAAATGTTTAATTATGTCACACCACTTTTTAGAGATTAAGCTTATAGTTTTGTTCTTTTTGCTTACTTATATTGTTATCTGTCAAACCAACACTTCCAAATATGTTTCTTGCTTACTAAACTTTTAATTGAAATTAAGGCATGCGAAAACTATGATGGCAAAAAGTTCTATTTTCGTGTTAAATGTATCTTATTTTTCCTTTTTATTTTAAAATTTTTATCATAAAATATTTTTTTATTTTTCAATTACAGTTGACATACAATACTACATTAGTTTTAATATATAACATAGTTCTTAGACATTAGTGTTGAATGTATATTTTTTATTTTTAAAATCAATTATAGACTGTTTTTGAAGCAAATCCTATAATTCTTTTTTAATTGCTAAAATCAAAATTTTTAAAAGTAATGACTTAGAAGGATGTTTCATTGCATGTTCCTAAAGTGGAATTGCATATGCATGTTCTTGAAATGGGATGGCATATCTACGATCAAAGTGTCCTCTATAAATATGAGATATGTGACCACTATATAAAAGAAATTGTTATTTTGAAAAATTTAAAGTTGACTCAATACATATGTTTGGATGATTTAAAATGCATGTTTTAAAAAATTTGTAGTAGGACAATTGTTATCTAACAATATTATACTGTTACATTATATTTGTAGCATATTATTTTCATATTTACCATACTCAATGAAATAAATTATCTTAAGATGAACATTTAATAAATACTTTTAAAATAAATTAATGGTTAATTATTTTTATAAATTTATTTTATTCTGTTGGAAACATCAAAGTGTGTAAATAAAGAGAAACAGACATTTTCTATAGTTACCTTAAATCAAATGAGACTTAAAAATAGACGTAAATACTTTGATGTATGTGTCTTGTATTAAAATATCTTAGGACTTACGAGATATGATTGCTGACTCACTTCATTCTGTTTTCCAACTGAGCAATTTCTATCATCTAACAGAAAATTAATAAACTACCCTGCATTAAGACTTATTTCAAATCTGGTAATTTGTTTACATATAATATATCTGCTATTTCAGTTAACAACTCTTGGTAAATCAAAAATAACCTTGTTGAATATGAAAGAGAGGAATTATATTTGAATCTATTTGTCGCAAAAGTATTAAAAGTGTTTTCTTGATATGGTATGAACTACTAATAAGGACATCTAAATAAATATATCACTTGGTTAAAATTTTAAAACATTAAGCAAATTTATAAATATGAAGATTTAATTTATGAATAAAATTTATTTGGGTGTATTTCATATATAATGTATATGCTATATATATGCATATAATGTATATGTGTAGTGTATGTGAAATATAAATAAAAAAAATGCATAGATGCCAGGTGCAGTTCTAGACATTGGAATACACCAACAAACAAAATTAGTGTAATAAATCAATTAGTTGTAAAATATGTTAGATGGTAATTGATACTATAGCAAAGAGGAAGGAAGGAAGGAAGGAAGGAAGAAAGGAAGGAAGGAAGGCAGGAAGGAAGAAAAAATGAGGAGGGTCCAAGGGTCCATCAGGAATCAGTGGTTTGGAAGGGTTCAGTATTAAATAGGGGTAGACTTCAGTGAGAAGGTGAAGTTTGAGCAAAGAGTTACGGAAGGTAACAGCATAGGCCAAGTTGATTTATTTTGTAGAATTTTATTCTGGAATACATACAGAAGAAATTATTTATTTCAAAGTTTAATGTGATCCAATCTTCAAATACAAAACATGCCTTCACAACTCCAGACCTAAAAATTTGTTTTTCTCAAAATCTTCTATAAGCTTTTGCTAAGAAGTATCATATGACTTTCTTTTTATAAAATAAAAACAAGACAGGGTAAGTCAAAGTGCTTTTTAAGTTTAAACACTGCTTGACATTTTTGTTGATTGTACAACATAGGGAGGAATATAATCATGTCTAATGAAAGGATATAGTTCATATTCAAACATTATGAATCATTTTATGAATATCATCATCATATTCAATTGGAAAGGATCCAAGTGGAATTCTGAAATGACCAATGGCATAATTTAAGGAGTGTTTAAGTCTAACAATAGATATTAACAATAATTCTAATTCTTGATATTTTAATAGTTCTTGGTATTTATAAATATCAATATTTTCTGATATTTTAATATTTGTCTATTTCTATTTCTTAGTGCCCTACCTCTTTAACTCTCTACATTCTATCTTCTTTGATAAGGGCATTAAACATTAAGTAGCATATACTGCCAATGAATTGATTACATATGACTTCCTCCTATTCATTTACTTTGAGGAAATATTTTTCATGTATTAAGTGCCAAACACCGTGCTCGTTGCCAAGGATACAACTTGAATAAGACAATACGCTTCAACAAATTACACTCACACTTCAGTAGGGAGCAAACATGGAAAGAATAAATACAACATGCTACAATAAGCACAATGATAATAACTAACAGTTGCTGAGTACTATTTACAGGGAACACCTTAAGCACTTTATAACTGTATCTCTATTTAACTTCAGTCCCATTAAATAGGAACCAATACTAACTCCATCGTAAAAATGATGAAGTGAAATGCAGAGTGTTTAGATCACTTGCCTATCGCAAGGGCAGATTTTGAGCCAAGGCTTTCAGACCTCATCCACTGCTGTATCAACTTTATCTACTCGCTTGTTTAGAAGTAAGAGTGGCAAACTAAGTCAGCCTGGAGATGTGTCTGGAAAGGTTTCAGAGCAGGAGTGGCACTTTAGCTGGATCTTATGGATGAGTATTGGCTAGGCAGAGAAGACAGGAAGGGGGTTTAGCATGAAGGCGTGTGTTGTGAAAAGGCAATGAGAATGACAGTTGCATACGATGCGAGGAAACAGGCCTTGCAAGTGGTGTTTCTGTGTGGCTGGAGGTGAGAAGCACAGTGAGTAGTGACAAGTGCCAGTAAAGACAGAGACGGTGGTCAACAGATGAAAGACATGTATCCCTTGCTAAGGGTTTATCCCTTTAGTATAGTTATGGGAAGGAAGTTTTACACTGTGAAACGACACTGATGCATAAAGAGTGACTTGTGTTTTGAATCCATTGCTTTTTAGAGCAGTGCGGAGGATTAATTGGGACCTGAGAACCTTTTAGAAGGTCATGTGATAATTTAGAGATAAGTTTCTGTACAAAGTTGGAATAAGAGGAGGCACAATAATTAAGAATATTTATTGCCAGCACTTGGTAAATTTATTAGGTATGAGAAGTGATGGTGAAGGGAAAGAAAAAATAGAAAACATACCCCCAAATTTTAGTTGAGCTACTGGATGATGGTGCTGCTATTAGTTGGGATAAGGGAATGAAGAAGGGAGAAATATTTGGTGGTGGAGTTGGGAAAGTGGGTTACATTCCATTTTTTACATCTTAGTATAGCTAAATGCTGCAGTTCAATAGAGAATTCAGATCTGGAGCTGGAAGTAATCTACCTATATGTAGTAAGCAAAGTAGGGGATCAATTATTTCATTTAGGCATGTGCTCATAGCCAGAGAAAACTGTCAATACCAACTAAGACCAGCCAAGACCAACTCTGGGGAACAGTAATGTTTAAGGAGTGCAGTCCTGTCACAGTAGCAGTGAAGGAAGTTTTGATGAATATAGTCCAAGAAATGGGAAGAAACAGGGCGGATATATAAATACCAACGCCAAGTGATGTGAGCCACCTATCTTATAAAATGTATTTCTTTAAATACTTTAAAAATATCTCTTTGTAAAGAATGAGATATGTGGCATTGTGTCCTTCAATACTGTAATTTTGATGTCCAGCCCATAGCGTTGATTTTTTGGAAGACTAGTTTGATATGATTCTGTCAGCTTAGACTGAGGGTGTTATAATAAGATTAGACTTTGGGTGGTGAACACTCAATGCAATATATACATGATGTATTATAACTTGTAAACCTGAAGCCTATATAATTGTACTAACCAATGTCACTCCAGTAAATTTAATTAAAAAAAATGACCAGTGGAAGTTTTTGTTGTGTTTACTATGAATGTGTCCCCTTCCCCCTTTGCCCCATCTCTGCCTCCCTCCCTCTCTTCTTTATTTCCTTCCTTCCTCTCTTCCTTTCTTCCTTCAAGGGTGTTGCTCTGTTCCTTACAAAGGTCCTTCTTTGTGAGGAATCTTGGTAAAAATTGTATTTAAAGCTTAGGAGCTACTAAGAGTTGTGCTACTATTGATCACTTATCTCTGTCTATCAATCTATCAAGCTATCTATCTTATATGAGTCATGTAAGTTAAACTGTGAATCGTGTAAAAGTTTAGGTTTCCCTGTTTGCATTGACTACTCCGAGTCTTAGATTTATTCCTGGGGACGTCTTCTGGCCTAGGACCTTACTGTGCACATTGTGAATTGACTTGACAGCTAACTCCATCTTTGACAACCTGACAAATGATTCACTCAGTTACTTCAAATTTGATTGTTTCCTGCTAATTTGTATGATTTTTGTAAAGCACTATAAGCATTTGCTGGAACAAGAAAGACTATCAAAACTAATTTATGTGTTGATTTTGAAGGTTTCTGAGCAGTCATTTTGATCTGTTACAGACTTTGTTCAATAAATGTTTGCCGAGTTGAGTCACTAGTGGGTAGGGTAAATTGTCACTCTAGAGTCCAGCTTTTCTCAGCTGCTCCAAATCACCTTAGACGTTTCTGTTGGTAGCTGACTTTGATCGAGACCCTATCTCTGTCTTCTGCAGTGACAAGGACAGTGTGTGCAGAACAATGTGATGGCAGGTGCTACGGACCCTATGTCAGTGACTGCTGTCATCGAGAGTGTGCTGGAGGCTGCTCAGGACCCAAGGACACCGACTGCTTTGTAAGCCCGGAGCGCTCCCCGTTATCTCCCTCCTCTTCTTTCTCTCCCGGGTTGACTCAGGCACACTGAATCTGTACCATCTTACTTTAAAAGACCTAATTAACCATTTTAAGATTAAGAAATATTATCTGCCTTCTTAGAAGTCATTCATTCGCTGGGTGGCTATTGATGAACTGGGATTGTTCTGTTCTACTAAATGAATTATGTCTTTCTGTTATAATTTATATTACCAGTGAGATTTATTAGAGAATGTAAAGGAGAGCATATTGAGATATCTTTTTAAAAGTTAATAGCATCTTTCCAAAATGTACAGTGATTACCTGTTTAGGTCGTTGTATCATTGACTCTTCTGAGTGGGGACCCTTGCATTTTATTTCTGAAATATGAATTTCAAGATAATAGCAGATAAATTTATAAATTTCAGTACTTTTTAGTTAATGTTGTTTACAAACCAATATTATTCAAAATTTTAAGTTTTACAAATGCACACTTGAAGCAATTTATGTGCTATTCTGTGTGATTTTTATATTAGAAGAAGACATTTTTACTTCCTTAAAATTCACATTTATCGCTTGTTGGGGACACTTTAAATTACATTTCGTTATCCTGATACAGTTCTTTCTGTTCTTCTGAATACATACAAGCAATTCTGTGAGCTATAGTTGATGCAATTCATACACACAGAACATTATTAGTTTCATTTTAAGTTAAAAATCATAAAATAAGGAGTTATTTCTGTTGTTAAAAATGAACACAGGAGTTTGTTTTCTTGTATCCCTTTCTCCATATTCAGAGAATACACATTTATATTTAGAATTGAGTATTTTTTTCCAAATCGGCAGTTCATTCTGGAAATAAGAAAAATATAAATTACAACACAGGGTATAGATAGTAATTTGTGAATTTTCTTAATTTCACAAGAAATTTAATTTGTCTACCCTAATTCTATAGTGAACAAAAGTATGTATTGCAGAATTGAGTAGTGAGGAAGAGAAAAGAAAATTAAAATGTTAAAAATTTAAGAGAGCTGCTTAGCAAGTCTTGGACTGAGACCCTTTCCTTTGCCTATCATCAGATAGGGGATGGAAGCTTGATTTGGAGGATGCTGAAAGGTTTAACAATTGCAACACAGTAGCAACAATAAACACCAACAATTGTCATAACTTTCACTTAGAAATTTCTCACTGTATTTTTTTCATGGTCCCATGTCACAACAAGCAGAGTGCCAAGTGAGCTTCTGAATTCTAATTTCATTAATTTTCTGGAATGGTCCCATGATTCCACTTTGGCATTTGATACAGGATGTTCAAGAATGCCAGGCCAATGCCTTGGTGTGAGTTACGTTGTTTTGTATGCTTTCTGGAAGGTAAATTTGTTTGACTCCTCTGCCTTATGTTCCTTTGTTGCCAAGCAATCTGTGCATAGCACGGCATAAAGTATGTTAGTTAAGCAATTATGAGGACACATGAAGTTTTATAACCATAAATTAAAACTTGCTGAGTATTCTAGATTGGGTTTTAATAGATTCATCCTGGAAAGTCTCATCTTAGTGGAAAATGTTTCATCAGTGGTTCCCCTGATTATGCATCTAGAAGACCATCATCAGGGACTTGTCATGTGTGTGATAAACTGCTCGCTAAAACAATTGATAAAGAATATGTTTTGAGGAAATAGAATATATTAGTGCTTATTAATAACCATACATATAATTTATGATAAAATGTAAAATACAGCTTGAGTTCACATTAGCTTATTTTCCAAGGCTTAAATTATTCCTACGAAGGTTTAATATTTTTAATGAGGAAACTTAGTTCATCCACTCCTTCGTTAATCACGATTTTTTATGTATTTATACATATGTTCTCTTTTATATCAAATACCTAACTCTCAGTAATTTTTTTTAATTCTCCAGAAATATGTTTCAATATTTTAAGGAATTGAGGTATCAGTACAAATATATAAGTCAACAGAAACAGATTGTTTGACTTGAACTCGGTGGCTTTTACTAAATTATGTGGCAGTATGAAGAAGACCACACAGGAAATGCCATCATATTATCTAACTATGGGCTAAGTATAGCTATTTCTTTACACTTTGGCATTATACACCCTACCTTTCCATTTGACTAGTTACCTGCCAGAGCCTTTTCTTTAAGTCCAGGTAAATGGATATCACAATATTTTCTCACTACACAATGGGGATAAGTGTCACTTAAGGCACTGGACAATCCAAACACCAGCACTAAGAAAATTCTGCCCTGTAGAATTGGGAATTTAGTCATTAGTGGCAGACTCTAAGACTCAAAATACGTTCTTTAAATAATGAGCTTAAATGATTTTTTCACTATTAGCTAACTGTAATAATTTGAACCAATTCTTAATTTAGAAATGAGTGGATAGATACAAAACAATATGAACATCAATATCTGTAGATGGTATATTTACTGACTGAATAGTTTCGTAAAACTGTGGATCCTAAACAAATTTGAACTTAAAAAAATAAGCAATAATTACTATAAAATCAAATTTTATAGTTTCATGAATTGATGTATACTAAGTAAAGAACACAGCTTTCTCACAAAACTGTTGTGCAGTAGTGTTTCTTAATAAGTATTATGAAGAACATTTTTAAATGAAATTAATATTTGCTGTGTTGCAGGCCTGCATGAATTTCAATGACAGTGGAGCTTGTGTTACTCAGTGTCCCCAAACTTTTGTCTACAACCCAACCACCTTTCAACTGGAGCATAACTTCAATGCAAAGTACACATATGGAGCATTTTGTGTCAAGAAATGCCCACGTAAGTGATAAGAGCAGCCAGATTAATTGGATCATGATTTAAAACCAAAGTAATTTCATGTAGTTATTGCAATTTGAAACTTGTAACAATACGGTAAATAAGTTGGCTATGGGGGCTGCCGCTAGTATTTCACAGATAAGGAAGTTAAAGTTCAAAAAATTAAAGTGACTGGTCCAAGTTCTCAGCAAATGAATGGTCTGTTTGAGGTTAGAGTACAGTGCCACTGACTTACAAACTCATTATTTTACTACACCTCAGTGTTTTTACACATGACGCTGTTTCACAGAAAGAGTGATTTGTTATGTGGCAACAAGCTACAAAGTGAAGTATGCTTCTCATACCAATGAATTTTTACCTAAAATCATCTCTGATTACTTATTTATAATGGAATATATAGTATATCATTATAGTTTTAATATCAAATCTAATTGTAAAGAGTAACAAAAGATATGAGGGGCATGCTAAGAGGTTTTTACCAAATTGGTAACTCATTCTGGGGATTCAAAGTGACCATTTTAGCTTTCATCAAGAATTCCCTGTAACACCTCCTGATATTTTCTCTAGTCAGTTTCTTTCCTTGGAGTGACCAATGCAACATTTCCTCAGTGTTTTACCTACTGAAGGCTAAAATATATCACTGCAATTGTCCACATAATCATTTAAAAGAAGGCTTTGCAATCTACAGCATACGATATTATAGTTATCTTCGCTCTATGCATGTGATGGATTAGGAAGTATAAGGGACATGGGATTAGAGTGGCTATGGAGTCTAGATTTGCCTACTGTTTAGTCATGTGATTTTAAATGAGTTAATTCGGTTTTTTGTTTTTTTAAAATTTTCTCCTCTTTAAGATGTTGATGGTAATAATCATATCCCCCCTCTCCCTTTCCCAGAGTTATTATAAGTATGAAAGGGATAGGGAAAAGGCTCAGAGAGAAAGTATATAAAAAATGTCTTTGAAAACAATGACAATGCTAGTCATTATTATTAAATATATTTTTTCCATATTGGTTAAATGAATCATATATATATGAATCAAATATATAAAATAATCATATATATGTGTATATATATATATATATATATATATATATATATATATATTTAGTATGCCTTTGAATTAGGATTTGAAAGTCACAGACATATTAACATTAAGACAGTAGAGATTTTTTCTATTTTAAACACTTTAATATCCAAACTTATGTTTTTGATCTAACAACCTCTTAGCTAAAGTTCCCCTGTATGAAACCATCTACTATCCTTGCAAAATAAGGGGCTTGAAAGTATTGTAGGATGGGACGGCACATGATAGAAATGTCCTTTTACTTTGACAAATAGTCTCCTACTACCTTCAAATTACGGTGCTTTGCCCCAAAGACAGTCAAAACCATGCTTCTTTTTTTGAGAATTTTGGTGCTTTCCCTCACGTCCTGAGGTTGCGGACCAGAGTTTGGGCTGGAGTGGAAAAAGTACCAGAAAATCTGAACTGGGGAATTTCCCTTTTCTTTACTATTCTTTACTGTGGCTCATCTGAACGCTCTCAACTCCTAAATTGTGGCAAGTGGGTAAACCTTCTGTTTAATTTTTTGTTGAACTATATTGTGAAATTACATGTACAGTTACCTTAGATATGGCAAACCATAAACTTTCTTTTTTGGATCAGTTTAGGTCTATCAAATTACAGACGAATTTAAGTGCTTCAATATTTACCTATTTAAAATGTAAATCTTTAATAGACTTTGTTCATAAGGTATGGTTTCTAAACTGTAGCTATCTTGGAAAAACAAAGATATTTACTTCTAAATACTGGTCTACATTCCATAATCCAGAATTCTGCAATTCAAAAATGCCAAACAACAAATATTTCTGAAACTCTTTTGGCTTCGAAACCTGAACCTAACTGATACAAGGCTGTTCATAACCTTCATATATTCTACTTGGCATAAATTGCTGCAAAAATATGTGAAAAGGGGCATTCCTAAAGACTGCAGAAAAGATGGCTACATACTACACAGTATATGCACCTACCGCAGGTTGAGTTCCCCTGAGACAGAGACTAGGTTGTTGAGTGTTCTCGGAATTAGGCCTGTAGGGGAAGGAAAGGAAGTGGGGTCAGGCTGTGATGTAGTCACCGCTAAGTGCCTCTTTTGTTGTGGATGCCCTCCGATAAATGTTAACTTGGAAGACCAGCACCTTCTCACATCATGCCCACTCTCATGGATTCATACATATCTCTGTACCTCAGAATCCCTTCAATCCCAGATTTTCCAGTATTTCTTCTCCCACGGCAAGCCACTGCTCATGAGTCTATATTTATTCTAAGCTCAGGTTACTTTCAAGCAAAGTAAACGATCATTTGCACTACACAGAACTATGCCCCTTAGTAGGATTTTGTCTTGTGACTATCAAGCCCATTCCTTAGTGTGGCTGCAGGGCAGCTGCCATCGATTTCCAGTTGCTTGCACCCACATACCAACCTTAGTGTTTGTCCTCCTCAGAAGTGCCAATTTCTCATAAGTGCTCTCTCTTGGTAGATATGAGCTAAGTGGGAAGTGCCAACACAGTGGTGGGTGACATGGAGGTCTGGGACACCTCCTTATGTAGTTCACCTGTGCCTCTGCTGCTGCTTAGATCTACTCCTAAATTTCCTGCTCCCATCTTACAATGGATTGCTGTTGGACCCATCTAACATTATGACATTGTGATTCTAATAAAACCTTATTTATGATGGGCAAGTCAGGCTACAAGTTCAGTCATGGTTAGGTACTCTATCTCTACCAAGACCCAGAAACATGTCAGGAGCTGTTTCTTAAATGGTGTTTAATTCCATGCTTCAGATGACACAGCTTAGCTGTAGTATTCTAGAGGTTTCTGGCGTGAATGTCCAATCGGAACTTGCCATAATGCCACATGGTATATTTTCCCACTATACATACTTCTAGTATCATAGAGCCTCCTGAGTTTTATGACCCAGGTAGCAGAATTGCTTGCATCCCAGTCTGGACCTGCACTGTATGCCTTTTCTGCTCCGGGCCCCCTTCAAGGCTGGAAGCCTTCCATACCACTGAATACTGGGCTAGAAGCAGTTTTCCCAGGCATGGAAAGATGCTGCCTCCAAAATCCAAAGTGGAATAGCAGGTACTGTGTTTCCCCTTTATTGCAGAAGCCTCTAAGTGCAATATGTGTCATTTTCTTGGGAGAGAACGTCCTGGCATATTCTAGGTGACAGGACCCTTAAATATTGTACCAATGAGTCAGGTAATTAGATATCCCTGCATTATTTTGCACAACTTTCCTAAAGTACTGTGCTTTCAAATTTCATTTTGTTTCTTCATATGAAACTGTGGGACAGTTGCCATGGCATTCTATTGAAAGATGGAACACGTTTTTAAGCATTTTCTTCTGGCAGTGCACTCCCTTGAATACAAGGCAGTTTAACCTCAGCTTCATTTGTGCTTCAAGTAACTTGAAGTATTTTAGACTTCAAACTTGCATTATGACATGAAATGAAGTGGAACTATTGAAAAACACAAAGTAAATGTCATGCAGTTTCCTAAATCTATAAAAGAAATTCACTGTATTTGGGGGCAATTCAGGATGTGGCGCGCTGGTTGTTGTTGACACACACGGCCCTTAGATTTGAATGTGGACATTTCTAGGTGCTATTTCAGGGTGACATATTTAGACAGAGAACAGTTTTAGGGAAAGATATATATATACTATCAATGATGGTAATCACTTTCACACCCTGAAATATCTTGTTTTAAACTTGTTTGCTGAACTTCAACATTATTGCTAATTTCACTTTTTTTTTTTTTTTTGGATCAGATAACTTTGTGGTCGATTCCAGTTCCTGTGTGCGTGCCTGCCCTAGTTCCAAGATGGAAGTAGAAGAAAATGGAATTAAAATGTGTAAACCTTGCACTGATATTTGCCCCAAAGGTAAGTGATCACTGACATTATTTTGGCAGAAACATGTTTTTTTCATTCACTTTTTAACAGGCCAACTAAGTTAGCATCGAACACACCACTCACTCCCCACCCAAAGCTTCCTGTACGCACTTTTCCATGGCTTTGAACAGTTCCCCAAAGCATCAGCTGTGGTAACAGCATGTATTTTTTTTGTGCTGAATGATACATGCTAAAATGATCCAGATAACCTTTAGAGCTAACTTTGATAGGAACTCAGAAGTAAAGTCGCATTTCATTCTATATGCAGGAAATCCTGAAGTTATGCAAAAGAACAAGGGTTCACATGATTATGTGAGCACCAAGAACACATATTTTTTTGCTTGCCACTGTATACAAAATGATCTGCTATGCATAAAAAGGGGGACAAAGAGAAATTCAATATGGCATTTACTCTCCAGGTCTTAAAATATTTTGAAAGATGAAATATATGAAATGACAAGGAGATTTACCATAAGTATAAATAAATGTTGCAGGTAATTCATGTTCTAGAATTTTAGTGGAGGAAGAAATACCTTCCAGCTGTGGTGTTCGAATTTCTCACCAGAATGAAACTTAAATTGAGCAGGATGAAAATGCTGTCTAAATTTTCTGAATGTTATTAAGCATTCCAAAGTATCAAGAAGTGCCTTTAAAAAGAGCAAACTTCAGAC